ATAGGGTTATAATTGTATGTGTCGCACGAGAGAGTCTATTTAAAAGCGGCCAGGCGCCAACTAACTTTATTTACAACGCGTCTGCATCATTCAATTTCATGCTACGATTGTATTACTCAGCGGAAATATTTGCACAGAAAAAGCCGATAAAAATCAGCGAAAATTTGTTATGAAGAAGTATAAAGTTTTATTCGCTCGTTTGTTGCCCTATTTACACAGTTTTCTTGGCTTTTTGAATTAGGAAAATCTAAATTTCTTCCTTAATAATGGACTAACAAACGTTTAAATACGATTTAGAAGCAGTTTTTCGCAAGTGAAACTTGTCAATGTGTATTTAAAACGTTACTTGGTGTCATGGGTACGTACGATAATGAACGTTTTAAAGGTTAAAAGTTGCGACTAAGTATAAATTATTTCTTTAAATTAAAAATTATCTGTAGATAGCAAATACGTCGATTCAAATCTCTTAATGTACGTGAACGTGAAAGCGCATATAAAACAACTTTCTTTAACTTATTTTGCCTTTGCTGACTAGCCGATAAGTAGAATGGAATTCGAATACGATTTAAGAACCGTTTAAAAACACTCTAAACAACACTAAGATTGTAACCTCTTTCAAAAAAATTTATTTTGAAAGTAAAATAATACTTTTTTTTTTTATTTTCATATTATATCATAAGTCTATATAGAAAGACTTATTTTTCTACGTAGTTTAAAGTTATTATACACCGCCGTACAATAATGAAAATACATAGGAAGGGTTTAGCATGAAATCAGCAAAAAAAATGTAAAATTTAGTTTAAAAATGCAATTTTTCAAACATTTCTTGAAAAAACTTTTTGATGTAGAGAGCATTGTTGCCAAATATTAAATATACCTACACTGAAAGAAATACTAGGGTTAATGATTAATAAATATTTATTTAAGACGTTTTTATTTATATGTAATAAATACAAAAAAAATTTTGAAAATCAATTTTATTTACTAACAATATATTCTGAAATTTAATTTATTTTTTATAAATAATTTATTTATTTGGGTGTCAAATAACATTCGTATTTAGTTTACAGTTTATTAATAATAAATATTGCTTATTAATAGTTGCCAAATTTTAATTTCGTTAATAATGATTATTATAAATAAGGCACATTTTCTAACTATTAAATCTATGTTGTTTGTAAGAAATATGATATATTAATAATTAACAAATGGAATATTGTAACGCGTCGTTTTACCTCGGACCATTTCCATTAATAATAAATAAAGTATATTTACTATAAATTCACTTGTTAATTATATGAATTTAAAGGAAATCAGGTTATATTTATTATTAACAATTTTTTTTTAGATAATGGAGTAGATTCTTTTAAAGTATTAGCAGACATCGCCTGTGATAATGCTATGAATATAGTTTTAAAGTTTTAAAATATTAGATTTTATAAAATATATAAATATATATATGCTTCGCTTTATTCATAAAATCATCTTAAAAAAAACAAGTATTTTATTTTAAAAATCACCCTAACTCAAGCACATTTTATATCAACATATCGTCATCAACCTCACAAAGTGATTTATAATTTTAGAGGAGAAGATTTTAATAATTTTACTGGGGAAGATTTTTGCAATATTTAGGTTAACAAATTTTTTTTACTCCCACCTTTAAACGCCCTTTATCGTACATGTTTCCATGACACTAAGTGACCTTTTAAATACACATTGACAAGTTGTGGCTTTATGGCGCTTTAGTCACGGGCTGAAGTTAGCAACAGGTTTTTAGTCACGGGCTGAAGTTAGTTTTAAGTTAGTTGACAGTTGTCAAATGTCATACAATCGTTTAAATAAATTGCCTTTCTTGTAAAATAATACTAAATGTGAAAATTATTTTATTATCTCAATACAAAAATACAAAAGTATTAAATAGTTTCTCAACGCCAATATTTGAAAAGTTTATATGAACATTGTACTGACCTTTTAATTTCGCCGGCAGTAAAATATAACTTAAATTCGGGCACGGACTCCACTGTAAAGTGCTCATAAAACATTTTCTTTACTTTCACTGTGAAAAACTATCAATTTTCAAGAAATACATTACGATTTATAACCTTTATAATTCTGTTTATAAAATGTAAAAAATTGACATTTGACAGTGACACACAGATTCCCCTATTGTTTCATATATGGCGCTCTATACAAATTTATCAATCAATTCAGTTTATTTATAATAAATAAAATGTTTGTCACTTAATAACAACAATTTGTTTTTAAAAAATACCAGTTTCTTAATTTTTAATAAATTATTTGGTTGTTTTAAATACAATTTTATTTCTCACAGATGAAGTATTTGTTGTAATCGAGCGAAATGTCACAGAACAAAAAAAGTTAAACTGTTAATTAATTAAAAATTGCAAAACGTCCGCTCGGAACACCAGCTCGACTAAAACCGGCCAAATAGGGACGAGAACATATCTTACTAGCCTATTAAGCATATGGAGGAGATAATTGCCCGCGCGGAGTTTTTCACTTATTTTCAATGATCCGTTTTCGACGAGCGACAATATTAATGATCCGGTCGACATTGACGGTTCTCGTTTGCGAGACGGCTCGCGCGCGACGCACAAAGAAACTCGCAGACTACCGCCGAACTAGCTCCTCTCACGCACAGTATGCAAAAATTTGAAATTTGGCAACGTCGCATTTTGAAATGTGACAACGTCGCAATTTGAAAATTTGGCAACGTCGCATTTTGAAATATGACAACGTCGCATTTTGAAATGTGGCAACGTCGCATTTTTTTGAATATGGCAACGTCGCATTTTTGAAAACTGGCAACGTCGCAATTTGAACATTTCTCAACGTCTTATTTTGGGAAAAAGCGTCGTATTTTTAAACAATTTGACACAATGCCCATTTTTTTCTGGTGTTTTTTCACTGTGCAGTTGGGCCTTTATAAGCCTAATTAGCGGTTTGTCGCCGCAAAGGAGAAAAATATTTGTGCAGTGTTTATTTTCGGTAGCCGGTATAAATAACTCGCGAGTTTCGACAAATACGATTTCTTTTTAAATCTTGATCTAAAATGTGTTAAAAGTTTTTGTGAAATTTATGAAGATTTTAAATTAAAAATAGTTTAAACTAAACAAAAACGTTTTTAAACAGATTGTCCCCAATATGAAAAAACTCGGCAGCGCTGTATAATCCATCTGAGAACGGTTGTTATGAAAAGAAAATAAGCAAGGAGTCTGCAGCTAGCTGAAATTTACATGGTTGACAGATTTATTTTCTGTCAGTTTAAAATAAGAAAATCGTGAACCTCTTTCATCCCTAAATGATAAGACGTAATAATTTTTTTCAAAACTTTAATATCAAAATTTAAATTAAAAAACTTAATCAAATTATTATTATTATTAGCGTTTTAATAAAATCAGTTCCACGAATTGTTTATGTAGAGTTTTGTCAATTCTTTAAACTGAAAAAATTGTTTTGATAACACTTTTATTATTTTGTAGTAAGATTTATAATATTTGGCAAAAAAAAAAAAATGATTTGTCCTTAATTACTTAATATTGTTGCTTAAAAAGCCCTCAATTGTTATACGGCCAAACATTTACAAATTTATTTACAAATATTTCTTAACAAATATATTTAGGTTATAAAACAAGTTCCCTTTTGAAAAGCTAAAGGGAATCTCTCTGGTAAACTTTATGACACTATACGTAACATTGTATAATCCTTTGTTTTCAAAACACTTTGCTGGCAAACTTAATACAAATCCTTTTGTAATGATTACTTATTAATATTCTTTGGTGCGTGGAGAATATAGACTCTAAAGAAAGGAGGGATACGGCCATTATAAATAATGAATAATTTGGTGTAATGAATAATTTAAATATCATCGGATTACGTACTAACTGTCTGGGTCTCTTTTAAAGTAGGTCGTTAAGTTTCCTTACAGTCTAGAAATGTGCTTGATTATATTAGATTTAGATTCGAACACACAAATTAAAACTATAAATTTGTCTAGTAATACTGCCGTAGAAAACATGATCTTTAAGTTTAACAAAAACTAAAATTACTATTAAATCATTTTGTGGTGGTAGTTTATGCTTGCAGTAAACATCTTAATAAACGCATTTCATACAAATTCCATCATATCCTTTACTGGAACATTAAACAAATTATTTTGATGATTTATATCCTAAATTTCCTGGGAATTCTTTGCATTTAATTTGCACGACGTGGGTGTGTAAAATACACGTATGTATATCGAGGAGAGAATGTTCCACAAGTTGAGCAGCTGCTGCTCCTTTTATGCGTTGAATAATTTTTAGATAAATTTCGCAACCTTCCTACTAAACAGAACGCGGGGAACTCGTTCCTGTTTTAACCGATTTTTACCTCAATTAAACTGCACTCTTCATTCTAAAGTCTTCCGTAAAAATATTATTTCCTTCCCTATTTTAAAATAACTTTCGTAGGTATTATTAGCAATTTGTCTTACAAGCTTTAACTGCCGACTTTATTACTGTAATTGATAACTCATTATTAATTGGGTCTATCAAAAGTAATTAATATACCAACGTAATCGATTAGTGTCGCCCTTTAACTCTAATTATTTTCACAGAATCGCTAATGAAATTAAAAACTAATTAAAACAGTTTCTGTTAATCAACAGGTTTTAATAAATAAATATATTAACAATTAATATTTCCCTACATTTTTACCGTTTAAAACTGGAGTGTTGATTCATATAATTTATTATTATTGGCAATAATTTATTGCTAAAGAAATGTTTATTTACCAATCTGATAAAATAAATAGATTGTGTTATTTTAATAAGAAAAAATATGATGCGAATGAATTTAATGCACAATCTAATTAATAGTATATCAAGTTTTATAAACTACATTTTAGTTACAAGTTTAATTAGCTTGCGAGCGAGTGTTTGATAAAAACTAGTGTCTAGAGAGGAATATAAACTTATTTTTGACTTTTTTTTTCAGGATATTATCAGCCGGCGGGTCCGCTGATCAGCGTGCCTCATGCGCATGGGCAGCCGCCGCCCCACGTGGCGCCGCCCCCGCCGCCGCCTACCGTCGTCGCCAAGACGGCGCCCTTGTCGGACGCGTCGCCCGCCGCCATGTCGCCGCCGCCGGCGCCCGCCAACCATCTGGCGCCGCCGCCCGCCCCCAGCAGCAACGGCGGCGATTCGTCGGACAGTGACGTGAGTAGACAAGTAAAAATCAAGATTTGGAATAAGATTTTTTGGTTGTAAAACCCTTTGACGAAAATTTTTAAAATTTAAAAAATAGTATATTACACTACAAGGGCAGAAAGTGTGAGATTCCTGCACTGTTCAGGGCTCTCACACTTTCTGCCCGTGTAGTGTATATTTTTCTTACTACCTCGGCCGAAAATACAACCCGGCCGAAAATACGGGAAAAAATTAAATGTGTATATCGAAACATATTGATGCCTGCCCAAATTTTGAGGTTATATTAGTGTCGTAATCAGAGCTGCATATGTTCAGCACACGACTAAAAAATTTTTACTCCCGCTATTATAGAGTGTGCACGTATAGCTTGACCAATGCAAGAAACGTAAACTTTCTGCCGTGAAATCGGGGACGAAACAACGTATTTTCAGTCGAGGATCAAACTTTTGAAATTTTTGGAAATTTTGCAATTATTTGAAAGTTTAATAATTTAATTTTTTTTTAAGATGTTTAGTCAATTTAGAAATACGATTTTTTGTTAAGTTGTAAAACCAATGATTTTGATAAAAGTTTTAGATATTTTGAAAAACTTTATTTTTTTGAAATTTTGTTAATTTTGAAAATTTAAAAACATTTTAAAATGTTAAATCAATTTAGAAAAACATTTTTTGCAAATTTGTTAAACCAAGGATTTTGATAAAACTTAAAAAAAATGTATTTTGAAAATTTAAAAACATTTTAAAATGTTTAATCAATTTAGAATAATCTATGATTTATTGTAAAATTATAAAACCTAGGATTTTGATGAAATTTTAAAAAATTTTGAAGATTTAATATATTTTTTAGGAATTTAAAAATATTTTAAGATGTTTAATCAATTTAGAAATACGATTTTTGGCAAAGTTGTTAAATTTTAATGAAACTTTTGAAAATTTGAATTTTAATGAAACTTTAAATTTAAAAACATTTTAAAAAATTTAATCAATTTAGAATATGACTTTTCGTAAAATTGTAAAACTTATGATTTTAATTCATGAAATTTGTTGAAATTTTGAACATATTTGAAATATTAATTTTTTTTTTAAATTTTAGGAATTTAAAAACATTTTAAGATGTTCAATCAATATAGAAATACAATTTTTGGCAAAGTTGTTAAATTTTAATGAAACTTGAAAATTAATTTTTTTTATCAATTTTGAAAATATTTGAAATTTTAAATTTTTTTTTAAATTTCAAGAATTTAAAAACATTTTAAGATGTTCAATCAATTTAGAAATGCGATTTTTGGCAAAGTTGTTAAATTTTAATGAAACTTTTAAAAATTAAATTTTTTTTATCAATTTAGAATTTTTTTTTTAATGATTAATCAATTTACAATATGATTTTTTGGAAAATTATAAAACCTATGGTTTTGATAAAACTTTTGAAAATATTGGATTTTTTTTTAATTTTAATAATTTAAAAATATTTTAGTCAACTTAGAAAATGATTTTTTGGAAAATTTTAAAACCTATGATTTTGATGAATATTTTTTGAAATTTTAATATTTTGTTTTAAATTTTAGTAATTTAAAAACATTTTAAGATGTTCAATCAATTTAGAAGTACGATTTTTGGCAAACCAATGATTTTGATGAAATTTTTGATTTTTTTGAAATTTTATCAATTTTGAAAATTTAAAAACATTTTTTATCAATTGAAGGGGTTAGAATAAAAAGGGTATAAGTAACATTTTCATTTTTTGGAGATATTTGAAGTTAAAGTTATGTTACCATAAAAAAGTGAAGAATTTTGTTTAGTAATGTTTTTCTACTGGATAATAGAGGTCCCTAGAAGTATGAAAATTACTTAAATCCTTTTCATTTCGATACGTCGGAACCTTATCTTTCACAAAACGAACTTATCTCCTAAATTAAAGAAATTGCACTTATACCCTTTCTATTCTAACCCCTTCAATTTAGAATGATTTTTTTTAAATTGTAAATTTGATGACATTTTTTGAAATTTTTGGAAATTTTAAAAATATTTTTAAATTTTTATATTATTTGTAAATTTTAACAATTCAAACACTATTTTTTGTAAAGTTATGTTTGATGAAATTTTTTTATACTACTGTGCGAATTTTTCCCACAATTTTTTGAATTTGAACTACTGTGTGAATTTGTCCTACCATTTTTAAATTTATCCCACTGCGCGAGTTTGTGCTACCTAAAGATGACAGGTACTTTCGACGCTACTTACTAGATGGCGTTGTTGACATTACAGGTAACTGTATACCTGTAATTTTTACGTCCAAAGTTTTGACGCTACTTCTGCAGCTTTCCTGAACTTAAAACATATTTTTTGACACTTAAAAATTATGATTATCTATTATTAATAAACATTTTACATTATACCCAAACAACTTCAACTTTGTAAAGATATTTAATAACTTCATCACAGTTTACATAGAGCTAATTCAATTTTAACCTTTCGCCTACACTTTCCACCCCAGTTGCCTACGCTTTCCTGATGACGTCACATAGATAATTGAATTGCGTTTTACTGTCCAATTTTAATACAAAAATTTTAAATATTACTACTGCGTGCTACCCTACAAACTGCATCGACATTCCCAATAAAATAAACCTTTTTAAAAGCTGCTAATTGTGTTTATGGAAACTTGAATTACATCTAGAGCTTTGCAATCGTAAAAATCGTTAATGTTATAATTTGCGAACGTTCAGGCCTTTTAATAAATGTTAAATAAGCTTGTAGATGTCAATTTTATGTTAATAAACGGATACATAACCATTTGCGAATACTTTACAGTTAATTTATTCTGAATTTTGTTTATTTTTCGCATTACACTTGCACAGTAGTGCGCAGCAAGGAAAAAACAACAAAACAGTTTTTTTATCATACGTTTTAATTTTTAATTGACAAGTTGAACTATGTCGTACGTATATGCAGCACAATTCTAAAACACACATAGTTTGTCTTTCGGTAGATGGGGCTGATTACCTCTCACCGTTGTCGCTGTACCTATTGCTTATATATACAGCGGCGTAAGTGAGTGGTTATTTTTGTTTGTGCGCTGTTGCCAGGTCGTTTTTACTGCTCTACTTCAAAGAAATAATTTTTTTAATATTTATTTATTGATATGAAAATTTTGCGTTTTGTATCATTGTGCGAAAAGGTAAATTCGCATAAATAATCGTATCACGCGAATGAGCCGACGCGCACAATTGTTGCCTCGTGCATAATCGAAAACCTAATAAAATTAATTAATAAAAGGCCAACTTTTAACGGCAATATGCAAAATGCCTTTAAATTTATCGCAAGAATTTGTATATTATAATACATACATATTATATCCATATAAAGTTTGACGTAAATTATGTTGATATTTAAAATTAATTTGAATGACACACAATTAACAAATTAGGTTTCTACATGCCATAGCAAATAAAAAATGTACAAAATATTTAGGGATTATTAGAGAATAATAACAAAATTAACTACTTTCAAAAAAGTTTTACCTACATTTTTTAACATAAAATAAAGATTTGATTTGGATTAAAACGATCTGCGCACTCTTAATAACATTTAGTATATAATTATATAAAATCCTATTTTAAAAACTGCGTGCTTTTAAGACTATTTACCATATAATTTCAAAAAATAGTCTACTCAAGTTTGGGTTAATTTAGAACTTTTAAAACAATAGTTTATTTAGGCATTTGAATTTTTTTAAAACAGTTTATGGACAATTAATTTTAATTTAAGGACATTTTCAGGGTATTTAAGACAAACCGCCTTATTTGCATTTTACATTTAAAAAATTTTAGGTAATAGTTTAGCAATTTGATACACTATTAGGTTAGTTGGGATATTTTTACAGGCAATTTAAAATCATTAAAAAATAGGACAGTTTTGGACATTTTAAACCAAATTAATCGAGTATTTCAAGAAATAGTCTAGTCAAGTTTGGATTAATTTAGAACTTTTAAAACAGTTTTTAATAGTTTTATAACAATTTATTTAGTTTACTGTATTTAAGACATTTTATTTAAGACAATTTGGGACATTTATAAGATAGTTTTACCTAATAGACAAAATACGGCAGTTTTATTTATGCATTTTGACTCTTTTAAAAACAGTTTAAGGATAATTAATTTTAATTTAATGACATTTTTAGGGTATTTAAGACAAACGGCCTTATTGGAATTTACATTAAAAAAAATTTAGGTAATAGTTTAGAAATTTGATACACCATTAGGTTATCTGGGATATTTTTACAGGCAATTTAAAATCATAAAAAATGGGACAATTTTAAACAGTTTTGGACATTTTAATCCAAATTAATCGAGTATTTACCATATACTTCCAAGAAATAGCAAAGTCTAGTCCAGTTTGGACCAATTTAGAACTTTTTAAACAGTTTTTAATAGTTTTATAACAATTTATTTAGTTTACTGTATTTAAGGACATTTTCAGGTTATTTAAGACAAACATCCTTATTAAAGACCATTAAAAAATAGGACATTTTTAAACTGCTGAAGACAATTTAAGAAAGTTTTGGACATTTTAAACCAAATTTGATCAAGTTAAATGAAATTATGACAATTTTTATAAAGTTCTAAAATATGGTAAAATTTATAAAGAATTTAGTTATTAAGAAACATAATTATAAAAATAGCTGGATTTTTACAAAAACTAAAATGTTTTCCAAAAGAGTGCGCTTTTAGACTATTTACCATATAATTCTCGCAGAACTGCGCACATAAACATTTGGACTTTTAAAAAAAATAGTTTTAGTACAATTAATTTTAATTTAAGGACATTTTCAAGGTATTTAAGACTTTAAGACAGCCTTATTAAAGGCCATTACAAAAATAGGACATTTTTACTGTTGAAGACAATTTAAGACAGTTTTAGACATTTTAAACCAAACTTGATCAAGTTTAAAGAAATTATGACAATTTTTATAAAGTTCTAAAATATGGTTAAATTTACTCAATAAGAAACATAATTATACAAATATCAGGATTTTTACAAAAACCTAAATTAATTTTTTTCCAAAACTGCGCACTCTTAGACTATTTACCATATAATCATCGCAAACCTGCGCACTTTTAGACTACTCAACCCGACATTTTAACTTTTCTCTTCTTCTTCAGGTGATCATAACGTCGGTGACGGCCGCCAAGGACACGATACCGCAGCACCCGCAATCGTACCGCTTCTCTCAGTACCCGTCGACGCCGCCGGGCTACGCGTACACCTACCCGCCCTACCCCTATCCCACCCCTCCGCCCCCCACGCCGCCCTACGCGCACCACGAGCTCTGCTACCCGCCCAACCCCTACGTGCATCACAAGTACCCGCCGCCGCCGCCGCCTGCGACCTACCGCCGCTACCTGAGCTCCTCGTACTACCCCAGCAACGCCGTGCAGGAGGTCTATTCGCAGCAGCCCGGCGCCACCTCCTCCCAGCAACAGGTGAGAAATATTCATAAGCAATTTTTGTATCCTTAATGGAAAACAGCCATTTAATTAGCAACACTTTAATAGTTAGCAACACAATTTTTATGTTCATAAACCCAAACAGCACAAGATGTCCAATGGACGTCAAATGGACTTACAATGGATGTACAATGGCCGTCCACTGGACGTCCAATGGATATATGTGCTGTGTGGGAAATATTAAATGAACAATTAGATATATAAATTCCATTTGTACTTTTGGAAAATTCGTTTAATGAAACATCCATGATAGTTGATAAGTTCTGCCAAGAGTCATTCTTTGAAGCTTCCTGTTGATTGGAGCCTCTAAAAATTTTCTTCGATGTTTGAATTTTATTTTGAATGCTTTCTCCTATGTAACCCTCAGCAGAAGATGTTGAAGACCATCCCCCCAGTCTTTTCAAATCAGGGATAGTGCTCCCATTATCAACCATCCTGGTAGCTCCACTCTTTTGCATACAATGGCCTGTGTAGCTATTGGAATCAGGAAGCTTCAAATATTCAGCAAACTATAAAATGTGTTGATCCCCACCGGTTACACACTGCATTTACCATTCCGGTAACAAACGAAAAATTTGGAATGATTCGTGTTTTGTGGCCTTAATTTACGATACTTCCGATACAACTAATTCCCTTCGCTTACAAAGTTATGCTAAAAACTCGCTTTTTTTTCGTTTTTGTATTACAATAACTGATTCATTATCTTCTATATCGTTAATTGTTAGTGTTCGTAATTCTTCTCCTCGCATTGCTTCAAACGATTCATTTGAAGCGTCATTTAGAAATTTCATAATTTGTTCAATTGAAAACCCTTTTGACTTTTTAGGTTCATATCCTTTATTCTGTTTTTTCAAAAATGCAATTAATTGCTTGTATTTTGAAATGTCACTGCCTTCATATATTTGCAACGTACTCTTCAGCATCAGCTTTAGCTTCCTACCTTTCCCAAAAAAACGCTAGCATAACATTTTCACTGACACCTTGTACGGTACAAGTTGTACCCCTTGATTGTTTCTCCATTGAAAGAATTGTTCAAAAGTTTTATCATATTTTTCTTTTGACTTAGATGGAAGCAGATTTTGAGTCGCTTCTCTCGCATTTTCTTCAAAAACACTTATCTTCCAAAGATTGTAAAAAAACAATTTTTGTTAAAATATTCTTAAGTTTTATTTAAACTTTTGTTAGTTTACTGTTTAATAATAATGAATATTTCTGTAAGTTTAATTTATTTATTATCATTTATTAATTGTTATCCCTCCGTTGAAAGCTACAATGAAAGTTCTAAATAGATCAGGGTAAAAAAGTCAAGTTAAATATAACCATTTAAATCGCCCGCGCTTTAAGCCAACTTGCTTCTAGTCCGCAAGAGGCGCTGTTTACGGCTGATGTCTAATAACGTATCTATTCCTCTATTCCTCTTATTTTATTTATACATTTGGCATCTCCATTGATATCAGCAATGCCCTAGTAGCAATGGAATGGGACAAGATTCTTCAGCAAGATACTTGGAGAAGCACTTTATACACAATTTGACAATTCTTGATCAAGACACTTGACCAAGATTCTTTATCCAGACTGGCTCCAGACTTGGGCCAGTCTTTGACCAGAATTTGACCAGAGTCTTGAGATAGACTTACGCGAGAAACTGAAAAGACGACAATTGTGAATTGTGAATGAAACTACTGTAAAATGAGAACCTCTACTCTATAGGATAGTCCCTAACTTTAGTAACAGATGGTCTCAGACTTTAAGTCAAATTCTTGACAAATTATGGCCACAGTCTGGCCCAAGTCTTGCCCAATGATCTTGATCAAGAATCTGGACCAATTCTTGTACAATTCTTGATCAACAATCTGTGCTTTCGAAAGCAAAAAACTCAAAAACCTCATTATCGTAGGTGGTACAGGCGACGCCTGTTTCTGCCGCCCCGGGCGGCTTCCAGGCCGTACCCAGCGGCGCCGCCCCGACGTTAATCGAAACATACTCGGGTCCGCCGCCTCCCACACTGATGGAAACGTATCAACCGCCCCCGCCGCACTACTACGCCGCCTCGGCCTACGGACCGGCGCCGCCGCCGTCGTGCTACACGCATTCCCCATCCAGAAGTATTCCGTATATAAGTAAGTACAGTTTATGGCGGTTCTAACCCAGATAGCACAGATACATCTAAAAGATATCTTAAAGATGTCGGACTCGGACGTTTATGACATCTTTAAGACGTCCAGTTTACGACGTAAGTCATCTTTAAGACGTTTTTAAGTTATCTCATGTTACAAAACACATCGTCTTTAAGATGTCGTTTTAACGGCATTATTAAGTCGTTGCTAAACGTCGCCAAGACGTCTTTAAGATGTTAAAGACTACCTATTTAAAAAATAAGCAATCTACAAGAATGTCAGATATATATTTATTCAGTTACCCTACCCATCAATGGGCCATCATCGTTGTCAAAACTTAAAATCCTACATTAATGTTGTTTCTATTACACCAAAATAAGATGGTACCTTATTATATCCTACTATGAAGTGGCTGATTATGGGATATAATTTCGATTTTGACTTGTCAAATTTTATCAAAAAATTTAAAACAAATAAACAGCGGTATCAGGCATTTATAAAAAGTCTTTAGGACATTAAATGAAGATATCTTTAAGACGTTCAGGCATAATACAGACATACAAAAGACATTCAAGACTTTGTGTGCTATCTGGGAAGGCATTGAAAACAAAAAAAATCTCTTTCAGACGCCACATATCAGTCGTGCCCTTGTCCAATGCAGTCGTGTCCAAAAAACGTAATTACTGGGCCTCTTACTGGTGATAGTAAGAGGTCGGCACTAACTCTCACAAAAGACTCGATGCCCCTGTCGCCGGTGGCCCTGGCGCTGCCCCTGGAGCCGTCCAGCGCGACCGAAGCCCCCAGCCCGGCAAGGGGCTCCGCCGGGATGCCGCCGCCGCCCTCGCCGGCGGGGGCGGTCTACCAGAGCCCCGCCGTGGCCAAAGAAGAATCTCACAACAATCGGGACGAAGCGAAAAGTCCCGAGAAGAAGCGAAAAGCGAGGGTGGGGAAAGCCATGGTCAGAAACGACATAAGGCAGAACACGATGTTGTTGATGTGCAACCCGGACGTCAAAAGGGAAATTGAAAGCCCCAAGGACAAAGACGTGGAAGTTTCCAAAGTTACAACGCAAGAAACGAAGGTTTTAGATTTGGAAACGTCGCAAGACCAAGGTATCGATATGAACGACAACAGACTTTGCACCGTACTGAAAGAGGAAAAAGTCGTTGAAGAATTGCCACCACAAACTCCCGAACCTCTACCACCGTGCATACCGACAGTGGCGGAGAACGTTAAAGTGAAAAACATGAAGCGAAAATCGTCAATATCTAGTGAATCAGTACCTGAAGTGAAAAAACCCAAGCCCGAGTTCCAGGGTTCGTACAAGAACTTCATCAAAAAAGAGCCCAACGTGAAAATAACCAACGGCAAGCGCAAACTGTTGACCTCGAACGTCAAAAGGACGGTCAAACCGAAAATCTCAGTCAAAAAAACCATATTCAAGAACGCCGCCAACAAAAGGTTGGCGCCGGACAAAAAGAGACCCGTACGGAGAAACCCAGTCAATTCTAGATTAAATAGCAAATTAACCTCTAAGTCAGAAAAAAGCACCGTAGACGAAACAATCGAGGAAGTTATCAGTGAAGCAACTAAAAAGCAGAGAACCAGCAAAAAGGTCGTCAAAAAAGAACCAACGCAAAGCAAGAAAATCACCAAAAAAGTCAATAGTCAATTTAATAAAGTCGAAGAAGATGCAACTAAAGCTACTAAAGCAACAGCGGCAAAAGTAACAAAGGACGCAGCGAAAATCTCCAACAACAAAGAAGTTGCCAAAGCGACCAAAGAGGTGGCAACCAAAGTACCAAAAGCTAAAAAAGTGGTAACCAGTAAAAAGGCAAAGGCAAAATGCAAGGAGGTCGAACCAGCTGCTGTGAAGATACCACGACGATCTTCTCTGGGGCACCCCAAATGGTCCAATGGTTGGAAATGGGAGGGAGAACCTTACGAAGGAAAAGTTTTCATCAATGTAAGTACCACTTTAATAGCTTTGTTCCAACTATTGTTGATTTATGTGGAAATTTCAAGATCCTTGGCAATACAATGGGGTAGTTAAATTTTTTCTGACCTATACTTTTTATTCAATGCGTTTTGTAATATTAAACATTTCTGTGAAATCAGAATTTCAATTGAGTTTACCGTTTTCGAGATATTTACAAAAAATATAAATTTTTATGACGTCACAAACCTCGCCATGTGACCAACATTCTAAGATTTCTATTGGTTGAAAATTACCCTGTTGTCAAGTTGTCTTGTTAATGATTTCATTCGGTTATGTCAGAAAATTCCCGAAGAGGTTATGTACAAATACTGTCACTGTCAGTTGAGTGAAAGATGGTCACCAAATTCATTAAGTACCTATCTTCCTTTGATATTTTAGAGTCTAAGATATATCTAAAAGAATATAAAGAACTAGGCATTATACTAATGAAATGCATTTACGACTAAATATGATTATAATTATAGGTACTTACTTTATTTCTTTAAAAGCTCCAATGTTCAATGTAACCAACCATTCCACAAGATTCCTCTGCTTTGGAGTCCGTTATTAATAAATCACTTATCTAATATCAATTACAAATAACATAACAATAACATTAATTTTCAATAATCTAAATTAAAAAAAAACATAACCCGAAAAAAAGAAACGTCAAAAAATCAATTCTTCTTCTTCTTCTCAACCAAAATTATAGATCAAGTGGTTTTAAAACTAAAATATTATAACGTGGCGCCATCTATCGTAAGAATCTTAAACTAAACCCACTGGCAACCATAGAAACAGCTGGCAACGTTGTCAATAGCCCAGTGACGTAATTAGGAGATTTTTTTTTGTAAATATCTCGAAAACGGTAAACTCAATTGAAATTCCGATTTCGCAGGAATGTTTAAATTTACAAAACGCCTTGAATAAAACCATAAAAAGTATAGGTCAGAAAAAATGTAACTACCCCATTCATTTTATTTTCTCTAATCTTTTTAGAGCGACGAAACTATAGTGACGAGAACCTGTTACCCGGCGATGCGCCACACTAGCGGCGACATTTTGGAACCGAGAGATTGCGTACTGTTGAAAGCTGGACCGAGGAAAAACGATCTGCCTTTCGTGGCCAAAATAGCTGCGCTGTGGGAGAACGCCGAAGATGGTAGATAAAATTTAATGTAACTAAAAAAAATATTATTTTTTTTTTGCGATTTTAGGTGAGATGATGATGTCGTTACTTTGGTACTACAGGCCCGAGCATACTGAACACGGTAGGGCACCTACGGATTGTACCGATGAAGTTTTTGCCTCCAGACACAAAGATTCTAACAGCGTTGCGTGTATTGATGATAAATGTTATGTTTTGACATTTAATGAGTATTGCCGGTAAGTACCTACCTACTATATTGAAAAAAATAAAGATATGACTAGAAAAGTGCTAAAATATTAATGGCCAAAATTCATTAAAAAAAACTAATAACGATATCATTATGAAATTTTAACACCATATTTTTGTGGTAATAATCTTGATCCTATACAAACTTTAATTCAATTGGCACAGTGGCGGCGGGGTTTCAATTATTAAAATCTTGTTAAAGAAGGTTAAAAAATAATATTATTTAAAAAAATATTTCAAATATCATTGTGAAATTTTAACGCAAGTTTTATTTATTAATAATCTTGATTCTGTACAAATTTTAATTTAATTAAATCAGTAGCGGCGATTTTATACTGGTTTAAATATAAAAATCTTTTCAAAGTTTGAAAAAATTACATTATTTTGTAAACATTCAATGCATCTTTATAAAATGGTATATTACATTATTTTTTTTAATAAAACATTTTTTAAATATTTAACACAAAATAGAAATTTTTTACAAAACAAAAATATTTATTTACAAAACAGCTGTAACAACCAAAAATTAGCAAAAGAAAAAAATCCAAAAAATTATACTATACTTTTAAGGTGTTAAACACAATAATTTACAAACTTTAATTCATTTGGCACAGTGGCGGCGATTTTATAGGGGTTTAAATGATTAAAATCTTGTTAAAGGAGGTTAAAAATAAAATTATTTTAAAAACTTTTTCAAATATCATTATGAAATTTTAACGCAAGTTTTGTTTATTAATAATCTTGATTCTGTACAAATTTTAATTTAATTAAATCAGTAGCGGCGATTTTATACTGGTTTAAGTACAAAAATTTAAAAAAAATTACATTATTTTGTAAACATTCAATGCATCTTTATAAAATGATATATTACATTATTTTTTTTAATAAAATTTTTATGATGTTTTAAAATATTTAAAACAAAATAGAAATTTTTTACAAAACAAAAATATTTATTTACAAAACAGCTGTAACAACCAAAAATTAGCAAAAGAAAAAAATCCAAAAAATTATACTATACTTTTAAGGTGTTAAACACGATAATTTACAAACTTTAATTCATTTGGCACAGTGGCGGCGATTTTATAGGGGTTTAAATGATTAAACTCTTGTTAAAGAAGGTTAAAAATAAAATTATTTTGAAAACTATTTCAAATATCATTTTGAAATTTCAACGCAAGTTTTGTTTATTAATAATCTTGATTCTGTACAAATTTTAATTTAATTAAATCAGTAGCGGCGAATTTACACTGGTTTAAATATAAAAATCTTTTAAAAGTTTAAAAAAATTACATTATTTTGTAAACATTCAATGCATCTTTATAAAATGGTATATTACATTAATTTTTTACATAATTTTTTTTTATTAAAACATTTGTATGATATTTTAAAAATATTTAACACAAAATAGAAACTTTTTACAAAACAAAAATATTTATTTACAAAACATCATAAAAACCAAAAATTATCAAAAGAAAATAAATTCCAAAAAATTTAACTATACTTTTAAGGTATTAATCTCGATCCTATACAAACTTTCAATGCATCTTTATAAAATGGTATATTACATTTTTTTTAATAAAACATTTTTATGATGTTTTAAAAATATTTAACACAAAATAGAAACTTTTTACAAAACAAAAATATTTATTTACAAAACAGCTGTAACAACCAAAAATTAGCAAAAGAAAAAAATCCAAAAAATTATGCTATACTTTTAAGGTATTAAACACGATAATTTACAAACTTTAATTAATTTGGCACAGTGGCGGCGATTTTATAGGGGTTTAAATGATTAAAATCTTGTTAAAGGAGGTTAAAAATATAATTATTTTGAAAACTATTTCAAATATCATTATGAAATTTTAACGCAAGTTTTGTTTATTAATAATCTTGATTCTGTACAAATTTTAATTGAATTAAATCAGTAGCTGCGATTTTATACTGGTTTAATTATAAAAGTCTTTTAAAAGTTGAAAAAAAACGTTATTTTGTAAACTTTCAATGCATGTTTATAAATTGGTACATTACATCAAATTGGGACATTAAAATTTTGTTTTAATAATTTTAGGACATTAAAACATTTTTATGATATTTTAAAAATATTTAACACAAAATAGAAAATATTTATTTACAAAACAGCCCAGTTTTAATAAAAAAAAATCCGAAAAATTGTTAAAAAAGGTAAAAAATATTTTTTTCAGGTACCGCAAAAACTACAAAAGGCTAGAAGAAGGCCTGGCAGAGCCCATTTCGTGTATACCCCAATCGGAACCGTACCCTCGTTTAATACGTCAACCCCCGGACCCGCTAAGAATCTCGCCGGAAATGGTGTTTTTCTGCAGACGCGTCTACGACTTCAGACAGAAGCGAATCATAAAAAACCCGACTTAAAACGGTAATTTTTACGTTGAGATAAAGATCTAAAATGCGATATTTTTTCGACCCGAAAAAAGAAGTCGATGGGGGTTAGATCCCGACTTATCGGCGGCCACACTTGACGACTCGAATTTCCGAAGACCTTTCATAAGTTATTGTTAACACAGCAAATCAAATATAGTTTTTAATATATTATATATTCCATGAAAAATCAGGTCGTATAGTAATTGCGTTGTTTTGTATATATAGTTTTTCCAAAACAAAAACCAACAAAAAATATATAGTATACATATTGTTGCATAAGGGAACATTGTATTATAAGAAACAAACCTAGCGTTATAAAATAATGTATAGAAAATAGAGAATATATATTTAACATATAAAAACGTATTGATTAAAGAAAAAAATTGTTAGCTATTAGAAGCTGGTGTAAATGGTGTGTGCTTTTATAGAATTAGTAGAAAATGTCAATGTTATCTATTTAAACAAAATAACAAAACAAACAAAACTTTTATAACATATTATTAATGTAGCCAAGCTGAAATTTATAATACGAAAAGTACAATATCAAAAAATACACCGTTTTTAGCCCACAACTTTTATCTGCATAAGCTAAATTCGTTTTTTGCAAATATCATTGTATATATCGGTTGAAGGTCAAAAAGTCATACAAACATTTTTTAGATTATTAAATTCTCTATAAAAAAGGTAAAATACATTTTTCAGTAAAACGTACCGTTATAGAGATAACGCGCTCTAAAACTATTCTAAAAATTCTAGACTAAAAATAATTTATAATAACCTTTATCCTACCAAAAAGTACACCAATAATCGACTAGGAACTTTAGGCTAATCTAGTTGCCTAATTTATTTTGTTATGGTTGGTAACAAGCAGCGTTTCCAGATTCTGTCAAAAAAGTTGCCAAATTTTGTTTAAATTGACAAAATCAACAATGCAAATTGTTAATTTGGCGTTTTTATTAATTGTTTGTCATTTTTATAATAAAGGTAAATTCAAAAAAAATCTGGCAACTTTTATGACAGAATCTAGTGCATTTCTTTCAAATTTTAGGTTATGGGCCCAGATTGTAAATATCTTAATAAATAACTAAGGGATTTGGATTTATTTACACAAATTGAATGTTTAATGAATGTGAACTTGTCCTAATTTCATCTGAGTAAACAGAAAGAAAAAACCGATGAAAAAATTAATTTTGTGGTTTTTATTTTTTTTGCTAGAAAAACTTCTTCATAGTGCGATATTTTTTAAACGGTTTAATTTAGGTTAAAAGTGTATTTAACTTTTTTGTAGAGTATTAAATTATCAATATTTTTTATTAATAATACTTTGACGTTCAACCAATAGCACGCTAGATAATTGCAAAAAACCGTTATACCTAAAGCAGATAAAACTATTGTGTCTAAGCCTTTAATTTCTTACATCCACACTACTTAACTTTAAGTATTTTTTAAATTTGTTAAATTATCACATTATTATTTAATTTTCTAGGCGTTACGTAACATTTTATACTGGAAGGAAAAAGGTGTATATTTTTGAAGGCCTGGTTAATTTTTATGCATTTTACGAAATTCCATAATAATTTTTTTTTTATTTTTCCAACTAGGTCTAGCTTCCTCTACAAATATGCATGTTTTAGAAGCTGACAGTATTTAAAAAAATGTTAATAATTTTATCGGTGTACCTACCACATTGTATGTTAATTGTTTATTATTATTATTATTATTAGGTTTTATAAAGTTTATTTTTTATTTATGATTATTATCTAATATATTTCGATTTTTGTAATAAATCGGTTATAAGTTAAAAACACTTATATTATTTATTAATGTATTATTATTTTTATATATCCCCCTCGACACTACATATATTAATATATTTTGTTAAAATTTGTATACCCCAAACGTACCCCCTTTGCCTTGTAGGTGCCTTTCTATTTTTAAAGGCTGCTTATTTTTGTCGACGTTTAGTTATCTTTTACCACCCATTTCAATAAATGTGTGAAAGAAAAAGTTTTTTATTTTATTATACATACCCCTCCCTACCATAATTTAAGACAAAATATTCATGAAATGGTTGATTTTACTTGGCAATCCAAAAAATAAGAATTCACTTACCTTTGCTTTAAATTGAAATGTCAAAATACATTTTGTTTTCTAAATACCTAAAAGTACAAATTTTAAATTATTAAAAAAACATGGATAATTTAAACAAATGTACTATATATATCTATCTTATGAATATCAACTGAAGCCAGAAATAACTGTCAACTTAAGCCAGAAATAACAGCCTTCAAAATGTCAAATTCAGATAAATAATAAAAACAAGTAGAAATAACTGTCTTCAAAATGTCAAATTAATAATTTAACTTAAGAATGTCAACATACACTTAACATAACTGTTTTAAGAATGTCAGTTAAATTGATAAACAAACTTTCAGAATAAACATTGCTAATATAAAATGATAAACTATTTGGTGGGTATTACAGGAAACTGTTTGTAGTTGCGCTACCGGTCAGCAGAGGGCGGTGGGTGTACGATTGGGTGGATTCTTGGCTGTTTTCGGTGCAGATGTCGCGGCGGTGTTGCAAGATTATTGAGTGCGCTATAGTGAGTCGGTTCGCGCGTTTCCGTGTAGGTCATATGCAACGTGATTGGTTACGAAGTGCGCCGATCAGGTCAATGTCTGTGCTTGAGGAAATTAATGGTGAGGTGATGCCCGTTGCGAATTAACCATGGTTAAAAGTTTGTAGAAAATAATGTGTATGTTTTCAAAGTAAGTGTTGTTCAGTGTGTGAATCGGAACATTTATCGTGACAAATGTCCGTTTAACAGTTTGGTAGAGACACGGCGATTTCTTAATAAAAGAAGGGTGTCAGCAAGAAATGTGATAGGTCTGTGTGTAATATAAAGGAAACAGTTTTTTTAAACTAGGTGAAATGAGCGGGCGCCCAAGAACTACGTCTTTCGCTGAAGGCAACAAGCAACCTCTCAATCCTCCCCTGGGAGGCATGAAAATTAGCAGTAAGTCTAGTAGGTTTAGTCTACTCCTCCGTTGTTCACTTGTCCAACAGTGACGTCGTAACTAGTTTAGCCCAGTGTTGCCAAGTCTTTAAAATGCATTTATCCCACCTAATGATGAATTTTTACTATATATGCCCTTTTTTATCCCTACTATAAGAAATTAAATCAACATTTTTTTGGGTTGATAATGACATTAAAATTTAATACACAATATGTCTATGGACTAACCTTTCCTAGCTAATTAATTTTAATTTATTTTAATTATCAATTAATAGTTTTAAAAAATACTTTGAATATCGATTTTCTACACTATAGTATTACATTTATTAGGGTAAGCTTTAATTTGAAAAATAAATAAACAAAGGAACAAAGACCTTTTAAAATAAAATTACCCTAAATTTTACCAATAAAACAAAATAATTTTGGTTTCAAACGCAGTAATAAGACCAAAATTACAATAGTTTACAACAATTACCGTAAATAAATCTAGTTTCAAATTGTATTGTATCAATTTGTATTCATTATTAAATTATGACTTACAAATTCTATTACATTTCTATAATGCATCGTATTAGTACGATAATCACCGTACGCTTGGCAATACTGTTTTAACCCGTAGATTTTCTCTCACAAACAATGTTGCCACATTCACTTGTATATCCGTACAACCAGCTCTTGACTTTTGAAATTAATTGACAGATACATAACCTATAGGTATAACAAAAATGTTTTTGGTCTGTTAAGTTTGAACGTAGATTCACTATGTTGCCTGGGCTTATATTTTAAAACTTCAAATACTTGGTTTCTCAAACAAAAACAACAAATATTACAACCAGGGAAAAACCTTAGATGTGGCAACCCTGCCGAGCGATTTCTATTGCGAAGCAGCACCACAGCGCGCTGTTTCTCCACAATATGGCTGCCACACTTAATACATAGAAATTCCCTAAACTCACAGCGATTCTTTTTATAGACTTCCTTTCCTAATGTTGAAACCTTCGAATACATTTATTAACGTGTCTGCTCTGCCTGCACACAAATGCGGCTTTGTCTGTATTATCTGTTTTAATTTGTTCGATTGAAATCGTTATGCACCTGTCAAAGTTGTAGGTGAACACCCCTAGAATGACCCGTATGAAGTTTTTTTTGCTAAAACTGTCCCACCAATGGAATTACGTGAAAAAGTTATATATGAAAATTGTAGATTTTTAATTTGACTAGGTAAACAATTTAAAATGCTTTTTGTATATATTAAACGGTTTAATAGGTAGGTATTAAGTTCTAAACTTTTTTAAGGAAAAGTTTATTTGACGTTTAATACTTAATACTTAATTAAATCAGTGCATAGAAAATTTTATAAACGAGTTGCATATTATACTTTCTCTACGACATAGGTAGGTATAGGTACTTAATATTATCTAAAACATTATTTATATTAAATATTTGTGTAAAGCTACATCTATACGAAAATAAACACTTTTGACGTTATTTTCACCGTTATTATTTTAATTAAACTTAACAATTATTATTAATATTTTAAAATATTAAAATAACCTCAAAATATGATTACAAAGTATTAAACAATTTTAACGATTGTATGACATTTGACAACTGTCAACTAACTTAAAACTAACTTCAGCCCGTAACTAAAAACCTGTTGCTAACTTCAGCCCGTGACTAAAGCGCCATAAAGCCACAGCTTGTCAATGTGCATTTAAAAGATAATTCGGAGTAGAAAAAAGTAATTCATTACATTTTATCATAATACATTGTCAATTGATAATTATAAACAATATTTATTGATAAGAAACATAAATCCCAATATTAAGAAACGAAAAAATAAATAAAAAAGATGCTTACCTATGTATTGCAACTAGATTAAAAACAACAAAACAGTGAAATAGTTATAAATGTTAGGATAATCCCTTTTTTACCAAAGTAGGACAGTAGAGCAATAATGGCACGTGTGCCTACTAAGCAAAACAATCTGGGCACAGCTTAGAAATCGAATGGTAACGCAGAGTCCGCAGAACATTTGTAGAAGTCGAATCATAGCAGTTTAATAAATGTAGTTAAAAAGTAATAAATAATAAGTGAAGCCCCATCAAATTAGTTTTATTCAGGGTAAAATACCCTGATGTTTTACATCAGAAGTGGGATAGTGATTTCCATGTACAATAATTAGTTTAGTTAAGTTAAATTAAGTTAATTTATATTAAACAAAAGCAGACAAAGAGTGAGTGCATCAAGATGGCAGATGAGTTATCTAGAGTTGAAAATGACAATTTATGTGGTGATGATTTAGATGCAGAAGAAATTTCACAACCTCCAACCCCAAAACGCGTCAAAATGTGGCAAGAAACTTTAATAAATTTAGTTGTGACGCAACAGCAACAACTTGCTGAGTTAGCAAATCAAACCAAGATGGCAATGTCCCAAGCACCTCTGGCAAGGACCACACCTAGTTCATCTGACGAAAATGCGCATGCGTCTTCATCAAGACATGTGTACTCTTTCCATGTCACAAGCTACGATCCCGATAAAAGTGCCTATTCAATCAAAGATTGGTTGGATGATGTCACCCAGCTTAAAAGGGAACTAAATGTAAGTGACATTGTAATGATCTCAAAAGCAGGAGATGCACTGAAACGTCGAGCATACAAATACTTTTGTGATTGGAGACCCATTTCCCGAACTTGGGAAAACTTTTGTAATGACCTAACTGTAGCATTTCCTGATCGAGAAACACCAGGAGCACGAGCATATACTGCAGCAACTCTTAGCAGTCGTGATTGCGAATCATTGTGTGATTATGGTAATAAAAAAATACGTGCAATAAAAAAATTTCACGATGAACTGCCATGGGATACCATTCTGGGCATGGTAGAATATAATTTAAATAATGCAGAGGCGCAATCAGCAATTAGAATTCAGAAGCCTAGTACAGAACGCGAACTAATGAAATTGTTGAGTGAATACGATGCACGCCGAATCAGCAGTTCTTCTGGAATAATGGAACACAAGCTTGGAAGACACCGAAAAGATCAACGGGATTCAAAAAGTTTTTGTGCACAAAAAGAAACAAAGGTTTTTAAAGGAGCCTGTTTTAAGTGCGGTCAACAAGGACATCATTAAAGCTCATGCCGTAGTGTGCGTAAAGAAAACTCCCGAAAAGAAGTTGTTTCTGCCAATAAAAGCGAATTGTCAATTGTTCCTACTTGGGTCATATGGAAATAAACTGTTGGTATAAAAGTGGAAAACCAAAAAAGGCATTAATACTTAAAAAATGACAGCAACAGTGCTCGGTAAAGACGATGCAGTATCATGTAGTTATGTTATTGATAGCGGTGCCGATGTGTCAATCATCAAACGCTCTCTTGTAAACACATTGAACGGTATCATTAAGCCGAACGAAAAAGTGCACGCGTTGACAGGATTTGGGAACCAAATTGTTTATATTATAGGAGTGTGTGAACTAATAACTGTGTTGTCGATCGTGACCTAGGATATTTGTTTTGTTGTTGTGCTGGATGAAATAATGCCAAGTGATATTGACATTATTATTGGATGGGTACGATAATTTTGTCGACGTAGACAAGGCCGTCGAAGACGCTCGAAATCGAATGAACTTTAATGCAAACAAACAATCTTTACGATTTAACGCTACTCGATGCTCTACAAAATTGTTTATTCCTGGTGACGTTGTAGCCATTGAAGATTCACAAATTGCTGGTGGAGGCAAATTAAAACCAAAATATAGAGGACCTTATACTGTTCGACAGGTGTTACAAAATGAGAGATATGTTCTGCACAAGAGGACCACATTTGCTGCCCTTGAACAGCTGAGGCCGTGGCCAAAGGAATAAAAAAATGTAAGTCCTGTATTTAATAATAATAATAAAAAGACAAGATAGTAGCAATCCTACTATGCTTGGGAGGTGACTAAACACCTCGGTGAAAGTGGCAATCCCACTGTTGAGGATGGCAACCCATCCGAAAAATAAAAAAAAAACAAAAACAAAAAAAGAACAAGATAGTGGCAATCCTACTATGCTTGGGAGGTGACTAAACACCTCTGTGAAAGTGGCAATCCCACTGTTGAGGATGGCAAACCCATCCGACAAAAAAAAAGACAAGATAGTAGCAGTCCTACTATGCTTGGGAGGTGACTAAACACCTCGGTGAAAGTGGCAATCCCACTGTTGAGGATGGCAACCCATCCGACAAAAAAAAAAAAAAAAAAAAAAAAACAAGATAGTAGCAATCCTACTATGCTTGGGAGGTGACTAAACACCTCGGTGAAAGTGGCAATCCCACTACTGAGGATGGCAATACCATCCGACTTTAAATTAGATTTAATTTAGATATATTTCAACTTTAAAAACAAAAATCTGTTTCGGTTTTTCTTTTTGCAGAAATAAAAAAAAAGAAAAGGAAAAACGGCGCGAGGACGCTCCGAAAACAGGATGGCCGTGTTAGGATAATCCCTTTTTTACCAAAGTAGGACAGTAGAGCAATAATGGCACGTGTGCCTACTAAGCAAAACAATCTGGGCACAGCTTAGAAATCGAATGGTAACGCAGAGTCCGCAGAACATTTGTAGAAGTCGAATCATAGCAGTTTAATAAATGTAGTTAAAAAGTAATAAATAATAAGTGAAGCCCCATCAAATTAGTTTTATTCAGGGTAAAATACCCTGATGTTTTACATAAATATAAAAATACAAAACAAATTACAAAAGTTTTGACATTTAGAAACGTCAATATTATGAAACGTCACAAGATGGATGTCATTGTGCTATGCACTCTAGATTATTAAAAAAAATAGAAAGTAGGTAGGTATGCAAAACTAAATAAATAACCTTAAACAACAAAATCAAAATTACAAGTAGGTAATTGACTTTTGTTTTCTTGATGATTTACGTACGCGTGACCCACATTTAGAGGTTTTTGACATCATTATCTTGTTTTTTATTGTTATTTATCTAATCTTCAGATAACTCTTTAAATCGATGGCCATCTAACATCATATTGTACCAAACGGTTTTTTGTGGCGAACATACGCAAAACAAAACACATTTAGATTTCTAAAATATTTCATTGATTGTAAGTGCGCGGTGTTGCCTGTTCGCTCTCTTAACGTATAAGTGGTTAGGCGAGATTTCTGGTAGAGGAAGTTTTTTAAGCAGTGGCATTGAGAACCTAACCTTAATTATTATTATATCTGCCGCGGTGAGTGTGTGCTACGATGTAGTGCGTTGTTGTTAAGTATGAATTTAAATGACTCTAAAATAACGAAAAGCGATTTAAACTTTTTGCTGAGCGTGGCAGGGAATCCGAACAATGACTTAGAGACAAATAAGATCTGCGAAAGGTCAAAATCCGTCGGGGATTTGAGTGTGAAAAAATTAGGCAGCAACAAAAAATTTGGCAGTGTTGCCACTGTGAACAGTGAAAGGAAAAAGTCTGCCTTTGGGGTGGTACAGTGTTGGAGAAAATTCAAAAACATTTTCACTGGTAAAGGATGCAAGCTAGGTTTGTAGGAATTTGTTGTTTACATGTTTTTGTGATGATCTAACGCTTTGTTATAATTATTATAATATGTAATAAAAACAAGTTTCAAATTTACGTTGGTCTAACAACAAAGATATTTACAATTATGTTTATTATTTTGTATTTTTTTTTACATAATTTACGGACTTTCGTTTTAATAAATTATATAAACAATTTCACATAAAAACACGACGACAAAAAATTGGTACAGTTAAGATAAAAGTAAATATTTATTTTAAAGATTTTATATTCAATACAACATTTAATTAATATTGACTTTAAAGCTCATAAGTAGTTACATTAATATAACCTTTGTATTAATTAAGGTTTACCTAACAAATTTTTAAACAAATATTTGTTCCAATGCAACGCGTGGCTTTCCTTAACATTACCATGTTAATTATTTATTAATTATGTTATAAATGGCAACAGTGTATTGCATCTACATGTGGCAACATTGTCGATTATTATTGTTTTTAATTTTTACGGTGCAAATTACATTACATCGTTATACATTTTACGATTTTTTATTAAAAACTTGTTTTGAAAAAAATACATTCTTGCATATCACTGAGAAATCTGAAATAACGAGCATATTTTGAGGTTATATAAACGCCGACTTAAAACCGGCAACCGCGTGGATTATTATTTAGGGGTGGCCGCGCTGTCAAAAAGTTTAACCTGTACCGCGCAGTTGACAGCTGTCAAGAATTGAAAAAAGATCAATCAATCAAAAAACTACGATAAAAATGGTTTATTAATGAGAAAAATTGATGTTTTACGGAGTGCAAAGTTATTAGAAACTATTGATTATTGAATATTAATGGCGAGCAAAAAGATGGGAAGTAAGGATAAGGATTTGGAGAGCAAGGATAAGTCTAAGGTTGAATCTCTTATTGGGTCCGTTTACGGGCAGAAAAATAGCATTAAATCTGGTAAAATAAATCGTGGATGTTTTATGGTTAATAATTTTATTACCTCTGTTGGTTTTGATAGTCTTTGGTAGTTTTGTGAATTTGTAAAACAATGTAGGTACATTATAATGTATAATGATCAATATTTGCAATAAAAATACAATTTTATTGCTGAACTCCGTAATGTTATAATCGATAAAGATAATAAAATTGTTAATTGCAAAATGTAAGTTAGTCATCCACTTCAATAACTAATAACTAAATTTTCTAGATACTACCAAACCTCCTGTTACCAAAAAAATAGGTAATTAAAAACTAATTAACTAGGTTTTGATAACAAATATTGCATTTTATATTTTACAAGGTTTCGATTTTATTAAATAACTGGAAAAAACAAACATAATATTTTTATTAAAAAACTAAGGCGCAATAAAGATGTGACCATTCGACTGTACCTATGTTATTTTTGTTTTAAATTAATTTAATTAATTAATATGTGATATCATTTTGTACAGATATTTCATGGAAACCTTGTATATTTAAACTGTATTCTACAGGGTGTTATTTAATTAATGTAATATTTTAAAATACTGAATACTTTTTGACATAAAAAATACCTAAATAAAAACTCAATAAATACAAAAGTGTTATGCCCTTCAGTATTTATTTACTTATCCAGCTATTAGCTTAAACAATGATTAGAAAATTTAGTACCTATGTTAAAAACTCCATAACCACAAAATTAATTTTTTCATCGTTTTTTTCTTTCTGTTTACTCAGATGAAATTAGGACAAGTTCACAGGTTAAACTTTAAACATTCAACATCGCAAAATTCACACTCTGTCAAATCGCGATGAAGTTTAGTCCGTTAGTTTTTTTTTCTTGACTACCGTAACCAAGGAAACTCCATTAAACGAATCACAAAACGCAAAATAGATATTTTTGACCTTGACTCCCAGCCAACATGATCCATTACGTAATTTATTATTTGCATTCGCTTTTCTTGGATATGACAAAGCTGCCCAAGTAAAAAGAGAGAGTAGGTACTGGAAACAAAAAATGCATTTCTTTGAAAAAAATAATTATTGTTAAAATAATTGAAACTGGAATACTAACACTGCCAACATAATTAAATTCTTAAAATTCATAAAATGTCAGACTTCAATTTATTAGATTAAATTATGTTTCTCAATTATGGTAAACTTTTTAAATAACAAGTAATTTAAATTCGAAATGAAACCGCTTTCATAACTCTAGCGATCGTTTTAATGACTTAATTGTTTCAGTTTTACAATAATTTTGTCTAATCTTAATTTCTCAGAATTGTTAATAACAGCGCTGATAAATTTAAATTGCTTTCTAAAATTACTTAATTTAATATATTTTTTGCATTTTTCAGCAGATGTGGCTCGATATGGCAACGCGGTTATTTTAAGCGTCACAATTTCATTGTTTTTATGCAAATTTTTGCTTGCATTACTTAAAACAAATGTAGTTAATAGAATTATGTGTTTAAGTTCTCGTGGTTTATAGAAGAAAAAAAAACAAATTTAAAATTGTATTTTTTTACATCGCACGACATGACAACGTCTCAATATTTATATGGCAATATGTTGATTTTTTAATTATCATTTATATTCTTAACATTTTTGCGGTTTAAAGATGGCAACGTCGCGTATTTTATAAACGTCATATGGGTTTTGTTGTATTGTAGTAAAATTGCACGTCAATATTTTTAATTAAATTAAATTTTATTAATTTTTATTTTCATTTTGACAACATTGTATTTTTTATAAAAAAAGGTTGAGTTTGCACAATTTGGCAACATCCCATTATCATAAAACGTCATGTTTTCTTTTGAAAACTAATAAACATTAGTTTTTTCATTAAAACAATTGAAAATTAAGGAATGTTATAAATTATAAACTTTTTAAGGAAATTTGTACAACACGGCAACACTGCATTTTTAAAATTTTCCAATTTGTTATTAATTGGTTTTACTTCTGCGTCAAAACTTGTCTGATTTGTTTTATTTTTCCAAATTTGCACAATATGACAACACCGCAGTAATAATATTGAGTTTGCATAATTTGGCAATACGGCATTATCTTAAAATTTTGAAACAACAATTGAAAATTGAGGAATGTTATAAATTATAAACTTTTTAAGGAAATTTGTACAACATGGCAACACGGCATTTTTTAAATTTCCAATTCGTTATTAATTGGTTTCTGCGACAATACTTACCTTATTATATGTTTTATTTTTTCCAAATTTGCACAATATGACAACACCGCATTAATAATATTGAGTTGACATAATCTGGCAACATTCCATTAATTTAAAACTTCTTGTTTCCTTTTATAAGTTTTTTTATTAAAACAATTGAAAATTGAGGAATCTTATAAATTTTAAGGAAATATGTACAACATGGCAACAGGCATTTTTCAAATTTTCCAATTTGTTATTAATTGGTTTTACTTCTGCGTCAATACTTGTCTGATTTGTTTTATTTTTTTTAAATTTGCACAATATGACAACTCCGCATTAATAATATTGAGTTGACATAATCTGGCAACATTCCATTAATTTAAAACTTCTTGTTTCCTTTTATTAGTTTTTTTATTAAAACAATTAAAAATTGAGGAATGTTATAAATTATAAACTTTTTAAGGAAATTTGTACAACATGGCAACAGGCATTTTTCAAATTTTCCAATTTGTTATTAATTGGTTTTACTTCTGCGTCAATACTTGTCTGATTTGTTTTATTTTTTCCAAATTTGCACAATATGACAACACCGCATTAATAATATTGAGTTGGCATAATTTGGCAACATTCCATTATTTTAAAACTTCTTGTTTCCTTTTATTAGTTTTTTTATTAAAACAATTTAAAATTAAGGAATGTTATAAATTATAAACTTTTTAAGGAAATTTGTAAAACATGGCAACACGGCATTTTTTTTTAATTTTAAATTTGCAAAATTTGACAACACCGCATTAATTAAAACTATAAAAATCCAAAAATGTAACATATAATATTAAAATCAAATTAGTAATTACAATAAAATTTGTTTGCACATATTATAATTACTATTATTAATATTATTATTAAAACGTTGCATGTAATTTTTTTCTTAAAAGTCTCATTTTCAACCCCCCCACCTTCATCTCATAAATCGTTACACGTCACTGGTCGCTCCCCGTCACATCACGTCACTACTAACATGATGATTGTTTTTTTTTTCCTTTTTTTTCCAACCCATTGGCGGTTACATAGGCAAGGATGGCAGCAAGGTGACGACGGTGGTGGCCACTCCCGGCCAGGGGCCCGACAGACCGCAAGAGGTCTCCTACACCGACACCAAGGTCATCGGAAACGGCAGCTTCGGAGTCGTTTATCAGGCGAGGCTGTGCGAGACGAACGAGCTGGTCGCGATCAAGAAGGTCCTACAGGACAAGAGATTCAAGGTGGGTGATTAAATTTAAAAAAAAAATTAAAAAACGATAAAAACATAGTTTTTATTATTAATTTAAAAAAAACACACATGGACAATTTCGAAAAGTTATAACCCAGAAGTAGTGAGTGGCAAAAACCTACATTTGCTGTGCAGTGGACTGTATATTTGTTTCCTAGAAAAACGCTTTTTGTGGCATCACGAAATAGCAGCACAATTCCGCGCGCGATACCGGTAAACTAATAAACGTAGCGTAGCAGTACTTAAGTCACTTTCAAAAGAAAAAATATAAACTTGAAACTTTAAAAAACATTTGTTTAGGCTTAATTTTGTTGGACTTAAAAAGATTATTTAAAACCACGTAAAAAATTATCAAAGTACTTCCTGAAATATTTATTAACTACCTAAATAAATAAATAACATAAAAAACAAAATCTTTTATGACAAATTAAATAAATTTTTCCCAAAAATTATATGCCTTATTAATAAACTTGTTACCTGGTGGTAAAACAATTTTACAACAGACAATAAAGTAATTAACATTAACAAGTTTTAATTTAATTTGAGTACCTACTTGTTTGTTTTGTTATGTTAAGTACAGATATCTCATAAAAATAAGTCGCAAAAAATTGAAAATTAAAAATGACCTAAAATAATAATTTATTTAAAGGTATAGTTGGTGAATATATTAATATACATAACTCATTTTAAAGTTTAAAGTTTGCATACTATTATTACTAATTAATTTAGCGACATCTATAAAAAACTAGAGTAACCAAAGTTAAAAATAGCCCACAAAAAATGTTATACGCGTTATTATTATTATTATTATTAATGTTTAATTAACAGTGTTTCAATAATTTTAATTCATTAAAATCATAGAAATGACCATATTTATTGTGTCAATAATAGGGTATTGATTATTGTAACTAGGTTATAATTATAAGTGTGTTTCACCTATTTGTGTTATACATAATATTATTATATTATGCAAATATTGTTCTATTAAAACGCAGCATGCAAAATTAACAGAATTTGTGATTTTTAATAATACATTTTTTTTATTTCAGAACCGGGAACTTCAAATAATGAGAAAATTAGAACATTGTAATATAGTGAAACTTAAATATTTCTTTTACTCTAGCGGAGATAAGGTGAGTTAATTTGAACATGTCAACACAAAAAACAAAATTTATTTTGGTAAAATTTTTGCCTAAAACACCACAAATTTTTTAGCAGCAAAGAAAAATGATTTTTTAATTTTAAAATCGATTACTTTTGAACCCCACTAAAAACTTTGCAGTGAATTTATTGAAACGAACCAAAAAAAAGTTTTTTCAAAAATTCGTGTATTTTTCAAAATGAAAAACGTTTATAAATGTAAAAAAACATGGATTGGACAGTTTTAAAAAAAGTATTTTTTGGTTGGGTAAAAAAATTCATAGAAACTTTTTTAGTGGGACAGTATAACATTAAAATTTCAGCCAAATCAGAATATAATTTTACCAAAATAAACACAATGAAACTGAATAATTTGACGCCTATTTAAAAAATACACACAAGCAATGTAACACTTGGGCTTTTATCGACGAAAAGCATGTTGACGAATCAATTGCTAATAAAAAAAATACTTCAAATTCAAATTGGCGCTCGGAATTAATTTTCCGCTTGGTAACGGACAAAAGATTAAAACTTAACGTAATAAAATACTTACTACGTTCTATTTTTAAAGCGCGATAAAAAAATACGGTGCTTTAGCTTATGGAAATCGAGATTTTATCGGGTGAAAATTGACGCAGTGTAGTTTCTTTATTAAATGTGAAAATCAGTTAATTTAAGAAGGTTTTAAGTAAAAAAATTTTTTTTAAATATAATTTGAATTCTAGGCAATATGGATCCAACCACGTACTCGTAAGGTACTTATTATTTTTCTAAATTTGTTGTGCTGTCAAAAAAAAATCATTTTATGTCTTAACATTTTTACTAACGTTTTTAAGAATTATTATTATAATAAAAATGTATAATTTTATGTTTATAAAACGAATTACATACGTATCAACTTTGTTATTTTAAATAGAACACCCTATATATTTTTACATTTTTAAATTCTACAAAAGTACAAAAATTAAGTTAATATGTTATAAGTTGAATAAAAAAAATGTATAAAAAAGGTGATGGGAGTTGACAAAATTTAAAAAAAAGAAAAATTTTAAAATGTATTGTTTAAAAAAATTAATACATTTTTTAAGTATTTTTAATAATATTTTTAGACGGTTTTATAACAATTTTAGAATATATATACAGGGTGTCCCAAAATTGGCGACCCAAAGGTTAAAGGTAACTTCCTCTTGAAATTCCAAGAAAAAATTGTCTTTACCATTTTTTCAAATTCGCGAAATTACAGGAGTTATTAAACATTTAAAGCCGCCAATGAGAGCGCAGGTCTTCCGGTGGAGGAGAAATACTGCGATTTCATTGGCGGTTCATAGTGAACTTAAATCGGATGTTAGTGTTGCTGTTTTCGGGCAATATTTTTTTATATTCACATTTGTGAAACATTGTCTTTTTAATTAAATATAAACCGACCGAGTCGGTATTTTTAAATCTACTAATTCAGGTCAAGACAATAAAAACCCGATGGAATTTATATTTATGGGGAAAAAGGTACTTGCACGCGATGCGTCTCGACAATGGAAAGAAAATGATAAGAATATTAAATGATACCGATTTAATTAAAAATATAGAAAATGTAGACACGAAAAAAGTTCTTTGTATAGAATTAATCATATAAAATGTCCCCATTTGTGTTATATTGCAAAAATATTCAAGAAAAACACTTTGTACCCACTATACAGGGTGTTATGTAATTAATGTAATATATTAAAATACTGAATATTAAAAAAAAAATTACAATTTGGGCCCATAACCTAAAAAGTTTCGGGTGCTTCTTTATGGGCCCTAAGGAACTACATGAATTTCATAACACCCTGTATATTTTTGAAAAGATTGTAAGATTGTTATTTTGAATTATTTTTATGTCAATAGCAATCTGAGGTTCCTTTTGACATGTCCATACTATTGGCTACCAGTATGCAGGTATGACCTGCTTTTTGGAGCACACTTTTTGTTTTTGTATAATTTTTGGTATTTTTAGTAGAATTTTCCAAATTTACGTATTTCCCCCATTTTGATTATACGGTGACAACCGTTTGTTTGTTGAATAGAATAGAAAGCAATCAACCAATGAGTGCACGGCATTCTTCAAAGCACACTAAGTGCGATAGAGAATGCAGTGCTCCGATTGGTTAATCACTTTAAGTACTATATAATTTTGTTTGTCACCTTAAATCATCAATGTGATTTTAAGATTTTTATTTTCGAAAATTGAAGAAGTAGCTTTCAGTTTTTTTTATCATTTAGACGTCATGTATGGCTTACCCTTCACTAACTGGTTCATTGTAATTTTCATTGAGGATCAAATTGTAGATTTTGTATGAAATTAGTAGACGTCGTTTTCCAAAAATACGGTGGCTAACAGTATGCTAGTTACGAAAAAATAAAAATAATATAAAATATCATCTTACCTTATTAACCTCTAGTGACAAAAGTATTGTATTTTTTGAACAGGCGTGTCCCCTTGGTATTTGCTAGATTACCCCGTACTATAAAATTTCCGCTAAAAAACCATAAAAACTTACAAAACTAAAACTGTTGGTAATTTCGTTGTCGTTTTTTTTCTTTTGCAGAAGGATGAGGTGTACCTGAATTTGGTGTTGGAGTATATTCCGGAAACAGTTTATAAGGTTGCCAGACATTATAGTAAATCTAAACAGACCATCCCCATCAGCTTTATAAAGGTAAGCACACACGTTCAAAAACATTCAGAAAAATATGTGGAAAGATAAAAACTTTGACGTATTTTCAAATACCCCTGAATACTTTCCTGGGATATTGACCTTCGCTAAACGTTTCGAGAATTCGTTTGACCCAATTCTGAGTTTTTTATTGATGGCCCGGTTAAAAATAACACAATAACTTTGGTAAATCGTAACGTTTTGAAACTTTTGCAGACTTTGATTTTACAAGGTACAAAAATGTGTTAATTAGTGCAGCGCAAATATATCATCTACTTTGACCTTGAACTTGTAGATAAAAAACGTAGATCATACACAACATAAAAATATTTGCTTAACTTATCGAAAATGCAACTCGTCTTTGAATATTGATAAAAGATTACGTCAAAATGAGTTTTTTATAACTTAACTTATCTAAAAATAATACGTTTCCATGCGCATATGTCTTGTTCATTACAAAACTTTTTGAGTAATTTTTGTGAAAAAAAATATTGTTTAACAATTTATTTTACTAAACTACTGCAATACACAGGGTGTTATTTAATTAATGTAATATTTTAAAATACTGAATACATTTAAAAACATATTTTCCCAAAGATAAAGAAAAAATATTCATTAGAACATCCAATTTGTGCAAATAAATCCAAAAGCACTTCCCTTAGTTGAGAGATTTACAATATGGGCCCATAACCTAAAATTTGAAAGAAATGCACTAGATTCCAAAGTTGCCAGATTTTGTTTGAATTTTCCTTCATTACAAAAATGACATAATAAACAATTAATAAAAATGACAAATTAACAATTTTCATTGTTGATTTTGTCATTTTTGTAATTAAGATAAATTTAAACAATATTGGGCAACTTTTGTCTGGAAACCACAATAAATTAATTTAGGCAACCAGATTAGCTAGTTCCTGGTTGATCAGTGGCGTACTTTTTGGTTATTATCATTAAATCATTTTTAGATAATAATAAGTATTTGTCGTAAGTCGTAAAAAAAGTATAGTATGCAACTGGTTTTCTAGACACTCATTTAATTAAAAACTCGCATACTTGCTTACGTAAAAATTGTTGTTAATCGCCAATAAAACTGGGTATCTCGTGTTAATTAGTATTTTTAATTACAATCCTTAAAAGCTTATCAAAGAAATTGTAATTAAAAATTTAATATTACAATTTTATTATGATTAGATCAAAAGTACCTTTTTAAAAGGAAATGGACATTTATGTTATCACAATCGGTTTTACTCCTATTAATTAAATTCAATAAAAAATATTCCGTATTTTATACATCTTCTATTAATCTATGTACAGTTTTATTTGCTTAATCGTTTGATGATACGTCAATCAAATGGGTTAATAGTCATTTAATTGCAAGTTTTATTGCTTATTTATTTAGTTCTAAACTATTTCGAACATGTTAATTGGTGAATTTTATCCTTGAATGTTTTCATATGCCACTAGGTTGATTGCACGTAGCTCGTAGCTAGAAGCAAGGCAATTTTTTTTATCTTAAACACAGCATTTTGTTTAAAAAGTTGTTAGAATTATGTCCTAAATTAATTGGATTGTTTAGAATGAACTTAAAGTATGAAAAGCTATAAAATTTAATTTACAACCTAAAAAATGTCTATTTTTATTTTTCCATTTTGTGTTATATCTTACAGAGTAAATTTATTCTCTTTCCAACATCTTCTATGCATACATTTTTTCTTGTATCTATAAGGGAAAACGAAATAAAATTCTATTTTTACATGTTACAGCGGCGTATATTGAAAAATAAATAAAAAAGTTTTGTGTTGGGTAATATTTATGTTGGGTATTTTGTGAAAATATTGATTATTCGGTTATGATATACAAATATTTATTTTTAAATAGAATTATTTTAATTTGAATTCACGTTATATAATAATTTTAGATAAATACCTAAATTATTAGTTGTATAAATTATAAAAAAGCCAAAAATGTTATTTTTTAGAAAGTTGGAACAATTCTGACCTAAAAACTATTTGAAAAATAATTATATTTTGTTAAATAATTTTAGTATACCTCAAGGATCAATGTTGGGCCCTGTTCGGTTTTATTTTCCAAACGATATTTATCTCTAATCAGTTCCCGCCCCCACAAACACTTTTAAAACACTATAAATAGTGTTGATGTCTATGGGAAAAAATCTACTAATCTTTTTTTTTTCCTTTTAATATCGAAATATTGGTTTCTTCCTCATCATCCTCACCTACAAAAAAAGTGTCATGTGTTTTCGTAAACATCCCAAAAAATATACAACTCGCAGAAAAGTTGGGATTTTGACATATTTTTGTTTAAAATTAAATGATCTACAAAAAAGATTTCTTTAATTTTTTCGATAAATTTAAGCATTTAAAAGATAATCGCAACTAAAGTTCAACCTGCACCAATTTTTTAATAATTTTTTTAAATAATAAAAACATTAATTTTTGAAATGTTTATAAATTTGTGCTCTTATTAAAATAAACCTTTTTTTTGAAAATTTTTAAAAAATATGGGGGAAATAAAAATTATTTGCTGTTAGGTTCGACCTTTTTGTGAAACATTTGGTAGTTAATTTTCCTGTCTTTGAAAATAGCATCCATTTGGTTTGAAAAAGATTAGCAATAATAACGAAACTTTTTCTTCTTTTAATTTGCAAGTTACTGATCATTAATAGTCGTGGAAAATATATACATTGTAATTATTATTAAGCCACTACAAGTATTAACGTCCAGTGGCTTTAACAAAATACCCATTCACCATTGGAGTCCAATGATTTTAATTTGTTTTATATAAATTCTTTTCAAAGCGAAGATTGTTATCCGCTAGGTATACTTTGTCTCCGGGCCGTAGTCACCTATATTTAACTACTTTTTTATATGATTTTGTTTTAATCAATGCAATTATGTACTGGTACTGGTTCCAGGACATTATTTCTTGATTTTTTTTCCTTTGCAGCTCTACATGTACCAGTTGTTCCGCTCTTTAGCCTACATCCACTCTTTGGGCATCTGCCACAGGGACATCAAACCCCAAAACCTCCTTTTGGACCCGGACAGTGGCGTGCTAAAACTGTGCGATTTCGGTAGCGCCAAGCACCTTGTCAAGGTAATAATAATTATTCGAAATTGGCCACCGAGAAGTCACGATTTAACCCCTATTGACTTTTTTCTTTTGAAACGCGACAAACTCATTTATTGACATTTTCAAGGGCGAGCCGAATGTATCGTACATCTGCAGCCGGTACTACCGTGCACCGGAGCTAATCTTCGGCGCCATAGACTACACGACCAAAATTGACGTGTGGAGCGCGGGGTGCGTATTGGCCGAACTTCTGCTCAGCCAGCCGATTTTCCCCGGAGATTCCGGAGTCGATCAGCTTGTTGAGATAATCAAGGTAAGTTTTTCAATTTACCAATTGAAAACCAAAAAATAAAAATGTTATTTTTTGGTTCCTTTAGGTGCTAGGTACCCCCACGAAGGAACAAATCAAAGAAATGAATCCCAACTACACAGAATTTAAGTTCCCGCAAATCAAATCGCACCCATGGCAACAGGTAAGAAAATAAAACTTTGTACGTCCAATGTTTATACAGTGTTTTTAACACATCACATCAGAACACTGTCATCTGTCATTTATCCGTCAAACGTGTTATATTTTGAGGTTATGTATGTCGCTGAAACAGCTAACTTGATTAAAATGACCGTCACGCTAACCATACTAACCGAACGTGTTTGTGTGTGTCTGGACTTCTCGTGTTATGTTTCATTAATAACTTTAAATAAATAAAATAATAACAGACACGTCTGTTTTGTAGTTAATGCTGACTAGAATGTCAATGCCACGTTGTAGCACCAAACACCAACAAATCCGCGTAAGTGACTACAAGGACAAGAAAAAACGATTGGGTTGCCTAGATTTTTTTTTTTAACCAAGTCTGTCTATTTTTTGTCGTTTTTTTTGATACAATATTAATTAAAATAAAAAGGATTTTTAGAAATGTTATCGCTTAAAAAAATTTAATGCAAAATAAAACGTTCCGGCTATAATAAGACTTAGCCCCATGGTGCCAACTATGAAGTCAGAGGGTTAACCCTTGTAACTTCTAAACTAATGCATAAAATTTAGTGAAATTTTAACCGTGGTTACTACATCATGTTTTCTATAAATATTCCAAATTTAAAAAAATTTTGAGTTGTAGTTTAGCAGTTTTATGGCTTTATGTCGTAAATCAATTTTAATGCGAAATTACAGTACAAGTTCAAAAAAACGTCATAAAATATATAGGAACTTCAACCAAAACTAGTGTTCAAAGAAGTTGAAATTTTGAAACATTTTAAAGAGTTAGGAAATGTATGGGAAGTTCCACTTTTTTGATTTGTCTAATTTTTTCTCCTACTAAAAAAGTTTCTCACAATTTTTTCCCAATGATTTATTTTCTTATAGAATATCTTTTTCAATAAAAGAAAATGACTATAATCTACAGGGTGTTAATTAATGTAATATATTTATTACATAAGGTGTAATGGAAAAATATAAAAAAATATTTTCACAAAGGTAAAGAAAAATATGCATTAGAAGTTTTTTATATTTTTTGTGATACCCACTGGTTATACACTTGTGTTCTGTGAGTACATAGATACCAACCAACAAAGTAGCTGCGCGTTTCCAGTTGTAAAAAATGGTTAGTAAAAATTTTTCTTGCAAAAAATAAATAAAAACTCAATAATTTGAAAAAAAAAGAAAATTATAACATATTTTTTGGATGGGTAAAAAAATTCTGAGAAACATTTTTGGTGGGGTGGAAAAATTTCAGCCAAATCAAGGGTCGATTTGGGGTGGAAATACCCCTATGTATTTCTGTATTTTATCTACATATGTACATACTAATAATTTTCGTGCATGTTTTTTATCGTTTTAAGTAGATTTAACAAATAGATTTCTATAATACCGATTTTACACAAAATAACTCTTTAAGGTATTTCCTATACAACCTGTGTTAAAATTTTTATTAAAATCCCAAAATTAACGTTTTTTTACATTTTTTATTTGTGTATTTTTTTTAGTTGGTGTGTTGGGTGGCTAAATGCATTGAATATTAATACATTACATTTGTTTTTTTTAATATATAAAAATAACTGTTTTTTCGTAGGTAATGCAGTGTATTTTTTATGCCAATGTCATGTTTATTTTAAACCGTTTGTCGTAAATTGCGATTTTTAAAAAAATTTGGCACATAATTTTTGTTGAAAGCCATTTTTTGTTACAATTTATTCAATAATCTAAACATTCTATACTATAAATATATATCCTGTCCACTTGTTGTAAGTACTAATTAAATTATTTTTTAAGAAAATGATTTAAAAATACATTAGGTAGGTAATTTGATACATTTCCAACAATTTTACTTATCAGTCAAAATGTAACAATTGTGTGACAATCATTTAAGGAATTTTCAACAAGTTTCCAGAAATTTGATATAATGTTCAATATTATTTTTATCGTCAATTTCATAATTATTTAAGTGAAACATTTTATTTTATTATAAAAATATAAAAAATGCATCGTTTTCCAAGTTTTCATTTGATACCAATATCAAGGAAGTTGTAAAGAAATGTAATTAATGAAATATATTAAAATACTGAATATCTTTTGACATAAGGTGTAATGGAAAATTATTTAAAAAAATATTTTGTCAAAGATTTATATTTTTTGTGTTCTGTGAGTACATCGATATCAAGCAGTTGTAAAAAATTGTTACTAAACATTTTTCTTGCAAAAAATAAACAAAAACTCAATAAATACAAAATTTGTATGCCCTTAAAGCTCTAATACCCTTTTGTATTTATTTACTCATGCAGCTATTATTAGCTTAAGCAATGATTGGAAAATTTAGTAACTATATAAAAACTCCATAACCACAAAATTAATTTTTTCATCGGTTTTTTTCTTCACAGGTTAAACTTTAAACATTTAATTTGTGTAAATAAATCCAAAAGCACTTCCCTTAGTATATTTACAATTTGAGCACATAACCTAAAATCTGAAAGAAATGCATTCTGTCATAGTTGCCAGATTTTGTTTGAATTTACCTTCATTACAAAAATGACATGATAAACAATTAATAAGATTCGATGAAGGACCTCTTAAAATTGAAATTATAAGCTTCGCTTTTAACAGAATATTTGTTCGGATATATTCTACGATATTTTGGGTGGAGAGCAAGAAAAAAATATCGAGTTTTTTTGGCACACCCTAATATACATATTTATATTATTATATTATACAGGGTGTTAAAAAAGGGTAAAATATTTCTCAGGCGTATAGTAGAGTCAAGAAAAAGGCTTTTTTCAATCTAACTCACCTTTAACTAGTTATATTAATTAAGTAAATTTGCCAATCATACGCTTGTTTTAGCAGAATAGGTAGAGGTGCGACAAACTAAAAAGAAAGTCAAAAAACCTAACCAAAAATCAAAAACACTGACAGTTACAATAATTAACAATTAAGGTCGATTCATACTGCCATTAAATTTCTACAAACATGTTTTTTTGCGCATACTAAAAATCACGAAGTTAAGGCAGACTTTAACGGCGGCCATTTTTATGTTTAAATCTGGCAACACTGACAACGTCGCCCTCGTCAAAAACTTGTTTTCTCTGAAAAAAAATCGTATTTTTTATTACGATTGTTGAAATTATTTGCCGAGGCAAATGCCTGAAGAAATGACTTTAATGCCGAGGTGCATATTAAATGTTATCCGAAATCACATTTAATAATACTAATAATTTATATTGATGATTAAATCAAATGTCATTTAAATGTAGGAAGTATACTGTTTTTTGCGACGGTTATTATATATTTGTCCGCCGCGGCGATTTTTTAATCTAATTAATAAAATTAACTTATTATTTTTATTAAACAACATTTTATGCAAGGGTCCAATCGACCTCCGCGACGGTGCTTTTTTTTAAATATTATTTAGTTGCTGCTGAGGAGCAGTAGACACGTCTTAAAATGTATAATGGGTTGCATACAATACTCGTATTAAATCGGCAGTAAAGTTCCACTTTACTGCCTATTTATTTTACTTCGATAAAACATTTTTTTTTTAATTTTGCAGGTGTTCCGCACCCGGACTCCGCCGGAGGCTATCGACCTGGTGGCGCGGCTGCTGGAGTACACGCCGTCGTCGCGGATTTCGCCGCTGCAAGCGTGCGCCCACCCCTTCTTCAACGAGCTCAGAGAGCCGAACACCCGCCTGCCCAACGGCAACGAGCTGCCGCCTCTCTTCAACTTCACCGAGCACGGTAAGTCCTCAGCTTTACATTTTTTTTGTCAAAATCGATGAATTTACAGTCCGTTCAGGCTAAGTTGAGCGCTTTGGTGGGAGATCATGTGGCCGTTGATTAAATTAAATATCGAATCGTCGCGAGATTTCGGTAACAAGAATATGATTTATCAGTGCAGCGGCTTGCCGTTTGTTAGAACAGAGCGGCTACCGAAGTACATGTATTTAATTTTGCCTGAACATAGAGATGATGGACAGAGTGACATTCCTTAGACCGCTCAACTTAGCCTGAACGGACAGTATTTAGGTCGCTTCAATATGTATATACAGCCCGTTCAGAGTAAAACCGATTATAGGGAAACGTATAGGGCGTGGCCTCGCCTCTCTCCAACGCGCGACACAGTAGCTAAGCAAATAGCCTGCATCGCTAATGAGATTTTTTGCATTATTATCATTTAATTTTTTAAGTCCTTACCTGCTCGACCTTTCGTCATGTCGTTTAACACACATGCTACTGTGACGCGCCTTGGAGGGAGGCGAGGCCACGCCCCATATATATATAGATATATTCGGTTTTACTCTGAACGGGCTGTATAAGACATATCTGTTAAAGTGGATTTTACCTTCAATAAAAAAAATAGAAAGATTGCAAAAAAAGAAAATCTGTGGGGGCCTCCACCAAGCTCTCCAATTCAATCAACATTCGTCTCTATTCTCTCGTTTCAGAACTAAGCATCCAACCCGCCCTGAACGCCGTTCTGATACCGCGCCTCTCCACCGACACGACGGGCGGCAGCCCTCAGGAGGGCGCGACGTCCTCGGGCGCCGGGGCGGCGACGGCCGCAGGCGCCGCGGGCGGCGGGGGCGCGGCGGCGGGCGCCGCCAACGCGGACGCCACCTCCCCCCCGCCGTAGCCAGCGACTAGGTAGTTTTTATCTTTCTCCACTCCAACGCAACTTACCGCCTCCACTATTCCCCCCCTCCACTCTCTATCATAACAAACAAATGCAAAGCGACTGCGCCGGAACCAAGCAAAGTTTTTTCAGTCGAGTCTGCAGCGTAAAAAATGCTTTTTTCGGTGTTTCAACTTCGTTACAAATATATTGGCGGCATAATAACGCTTAGCACCGCGGTGCTAACCAACAAATCAAAGTGCTAACCCTTATAACTTCCAAACCGTTTTATGAAATTACTCGAAATTTTAACCATGTTTAAAACATTAAGTTTTCTACATATGGTCAAAATTTTGATGGATTTTATAAAATAGTGGGTATACAAGATACAAAAAAAAACTTTTTTAGTATTTTTTTTAATTCAAAGTTGTTGGCAAAATAAAACTAACCAAAAGTCAAAGTGTTAACCCTTATAACTTCTAAACTGTTTTATGAAATTACTCAAAATTTTAACCATGTTTAAAACAAAGTTTTCTACATATGGTCAAAACTTTGATGACTTTTATAAAATGGTGCAGGAGTCTACAAAATAAAAAAGTACTTATTTTAGTATTTTTTTTAAATTCAAAGACAAAATAACACTTAGCACCGCGGTGCTAACCAACAAGTCAAAGTTATAACCATTATAACTTCTAAACCGTTTTATGAAATTACTCGAAATTTTAACCATGGTTAAAACATAATGTTTTCTACATATAGTCAAAACTTTTATGGATTTTATAAAATAGTGTGGGAATCTATAAGATAAAAAAGTACTTTGTTTAGTATTTTTTTTTTAATTGTTGGCAAAATAAAACTAACCAAAAGTCAAAGTGTTAACCCTTATAACTTCTAAACTGTTTTATGAAATTACTCAAAATTTTAACCAAGTTTAAAACAAAGTTTTCTACATATGGTCAAAACTTTGATGAATTTTATAAAATAGTGCAGTCTACAAAATAAAAAAGTACTTATTTTAGTATTTTTTAAATTCAAAGACAAAACAGCCTTAGCACCGCGGTGCTAACCAACAAGTCAAAGTGTTAACCCTCATAACTTCTAAACCGTTTTATGAAATGACTCGAAATTTTCACCATGGTTAAAACACAATGTTTTCTACGTACAGTCCAAATTTCGATGCATTTTATAAAACAGTATTTTGTAGACGACTCGTTAAAAATTTGCTTGGTTCTACTGTGCCCCCTTTTCTACCCCCCCACACCTTTAGAATACTACCAACATAAATCCCCCCCTCCCCAAAAAAGGCACCAACGTATATTTTCTAGTGTGATTGTTTGGGACAGCTGTACTATAGAATTACTTTAATATACGTGCATTGTACAGAAAAATAATTGTTTTGTAGATGGCATTTTGTATTTATGATGCCCCCTTTTCTTCTTACTCCCCCCCCGTCATTGTTTTTATTATTATTATTATTATTTTTTAAGAACCGACTACTTCACTACCGCTGTCAAATTTGACGTTTCTAGGTTAGGTGGACCTGTCAGTGTCGGGTGTATTCGATAATAAAAAGCGAAAATGTGGAAAAAATTGAATAATCTGGCGGGATTTTGACTTTGTAAATACCTCATAAATACACAACTATGTTCAGTACGTTTCCAAAGAATGTACTCTATTAATTACTGATACTTAGTATAACCCCCTTCTGCCACTCAAAAAGACCCATAATATACAGGGTGTCCAAAATTGGCGGCCCAAAGTGAAATTTATTTTGCCATTTTTTTGGAAATCGCATAATTAATGCGAATCCGAAAAAATGATATTTTGCCGATTTTGGTACACCTTGTATAATCGAGATCAAAAACTAAAATATCAAGATTTTTTGTGACGCCAAATGTCAAAAATTCGAGGTTAAGTTAACGTCAAAAATTACAGTGTTGCCTATTAAACTTGGATCGCTTAATTAATGGAAATTAGGCAACGTTGTGCGTTTTGACATTTGTGGTTGGTCTTTTTGGCTCCCCTGTATATTATTGCCAGGTTTTTCAATCAAATCTATAGGTTATAATAATTTATATTGTTAATCTCAAGATATAAAATTTAAATGATTTTAACATTAAAAAAAATTATAAGTTATTAAAATAGAACTTTTATTACTTATTTACACTGTTGTATATTATATAATATAGTAAGTCATTTTTAACCGATTTCAAATACAATTGAATTCTTTTGGTGTTAAATAATTTAAGGTTATTTGTTTTTCTGGTATGTAAGTTGTTATTGTGTAATATGGTAATACTTGAAAATAGTCCCTTCTCGTAGAAGGTTATATATTGTATCCATGCCTGGTTTCTCTCATTCGATTTAATAATATTTTTTTTATTTGTACAGCATAAATTTCTTGTAGATACCAAAAAGTTGCACCATAAATTTATTGTAAAACTTATATATGACGTAAATTGTAGCATAATAAACGTTTAAACACAATTGATGACATTTTAATTCACCACCTTTGAACTTTGATCTACAAGAAATTTAAACTTGTATAGTCCGTTCAACGAACGAAAAAGCACGGAAAAAGCTTTTAACATAACATTAAAAGAGGTACTTTTTCATTTATTTAACAGACTATATAATACTTTTGCCTGTGGCTTGTGATAGGAAGAAACTAAAACTGACTTATGGTTGAAACTCTAAAATTACAACAAACGTTTTTAGACTGTCGAATTATTATTTTTAATTTTTTTTGTTGAGTTTTTTGACAGCCTAGTGTAGAAAAATTAATTTGCCGACAAAAATTACATTTGTGATATTTATTTGCTTATAGGTACTTAAGGGGACACTCTGCATACTAAAACCTCGTTTTATATCACATTAATTATTTAACTTGGAAATTTAGTAAATTATAGTTATTTTGGAGGCTTTAGCAATACAGAATGGCCTCTTATAAAGTAATAATTGGTGTTAAATTAATTAAATTAAAAATGGTAATACAGGAACATTTTAATAATGACTACTATTGAATTGAGGGGTGTGTGATATGACTTAAGATATTATTCGAGGATAATTCTGTACTTTTAGCTTATGCTTTAGAGAACTGAAGGATTTTTAGAAACGTTTGCTTACAAACAATGCAAAGTTAAATGACGTTGTCACATTTCAACACCTCACGTTCTTGCTGTAATAAAACTTAGCCCCAGAGTGCCAGCAATGAAGTCGCAGGGTTAACCCTTGTAACACCTAAACTACCGCATGTAATGTAGTGAAATTTTAACCGTGGTTACTACATAATGTTTTCTATGGATAGTCCAAATTACATCATGGTATGTGCAGTAGTTTCGGAGTTATACGGCTTTACGTGGTACTTTGTTTTTAGATCGATTTCAATTTAAAATTGCACAAGTACAGGCGGAAATAATAATTTTTCGGCGAAATTGTATATTTTGTGTGCAGTGTGTTATCTAATAATAATTAAATGTATTTTTTAGCATAACAGAAATTTAAGTTAAGACTTCTACGCTAGTAGTTTTTTCTATGGCTTTAAAGCCTATTTTTCTCCATTATTAAATGTATTTCTTAGGTAAATATATATTTATATTTTAATTGTACATAATATATTTCTTATTTGTAAATTTACCTAATTGTGTTTCAAAAAAGAAAAGCTCTAGAGTAGAAAGTCGCAAATATATAACATATCAAATTTGTTGGTTTTTCTTTCCAGTTAAACATAGCCATTTTTTTCTAATTTTTATTATTCTAGCTGGTACTTAAGTAATTGTTTTTTGTTGTGGGATGTGACAATATTTTGTCAGAATGAATACAGTCAGTTCAGTGTAATAGTTGATACAAAATAAAGCTCCATTTAAGTACATAGTTTTTAGAGTTTTTTTAATAAACCCTTTACATTTGTCTACAAATATTTTATTTTTTATGGTAGGTATCAGTTTTTATTACTTTAAGCAAAGATTAAATATACTCTTTAGTATATGAGTATATTTAATCTTTGCTTTAAGTACATAAAAACATATTTGAAGTAGGTGCCTCCATCTGCTAGTCAAAGTACCGAACTAATTGCCGGTAAAACAGCTTTCTGTAACTTAATCACGCAGTTCTCAAAACACATCATAGATGGCGTTCTAATACAACTTTAACATATACTTACCACACAGTAAGTGGTAAGTATATGAACTTTAAAAGTTTAAATCCGGAATTCCTGTTTTACTTTTCAAACAAATGGTAGCAAGGTTAATACACTTTTATAGTCGATATTAAATTATTGTGGCAATAAAGTCGTCAAAAATGAAGAATTTAATGTTTGATTGTGTTTGAATTTTACAGGTTTGTTGGGCGGTTAATTTGTTGGACAATGGAATTTTTCTCTGCGAAATTATCGTTAAATTGAATTTAAAATAAAAGGTTATTTTGGTAGTTTATTGTTAAATAATAAGCTTTAGTTTATTGTTAAATAATAAGCTTTACTTAATTAATAAAATAAAAATGAAAAAATATTGTGTCAAAATAAAATTAATACAATTAACTGGTGATAACCTTACCTTTTACAGGGTGTTAAAACATTCAATAGATACCCTTTTAATGATGCAATTAGATTCTTAAAACCTTTCTAAAAAGCATCCTAAGAACATTTTAAGAATACGTTTTTGTTCTTAGAAGGTTTCTTATGGAGCTTCTAGGAAGCTTTTGAGAATATTTCCAAATATGTCAGATACCCACGTTCTAATATGTTGTATTCTACATTCGTAAAATTCTTCAGGAGACGACAAATACCCCTCACTGTCATAATATGACAGTGAAATGTATTTGTCGTCCCCTTAAAAAATTTGCGACATATTAATATATTTATTTAAAAATATTAAATAAACAATTTGACCTCTAAACCATAAGTTGTATGACATGATTTCATAAAAAGTAAAATTGGAAAATTTTGTGGGATAAGTGACTTATCCCACAAAATTTTCCAATTTTTTTTATAGTTATTTGTCAAATTAAAACAATATTCGATAACAAAAATACTTTTATGTTAAAAATAAATATTTATTAATTTGTATACCTATTTTTTATTTCTGAATTAACATTTGTAGGTATGTATAATAATCCTAACTATCTTCAACTTCAATCTAATCTGACTTATCATATGTTATCGAATATTGTTTTAATTTGACAAATAACTATAAAAAAAATATTTTGGATTGTGTTTTTTACTTAGTATTTAATACTAATTACTAATTAGGTACT